GTTCTACATACATACATATGCAGTGACATAGAATCGGTCACGTAGCAGCATAGCGCTGGCTGCTGGCAGGGAAGAGGAGCGGCAGCTCACAGCAGCCCTAACGGACAGCAGGCCACGTGATAGACCCGAGAGGGATCTTGGGGAAAGGTTATGTACGGAAGGGTCACATCGAGAACCGGCTAGACGGTTCTCGAAGGGGGCGTGGCCGGGGGCGGAGCCAGGCCACGCTGACAGTATAAGAGGGGCTCTGGGAGGGGACCTCGGGGCTGTCGTTTGGAGTGGGGTCCCCGTCGTACTGCTGCCAGAGTCTTCACCGTCTCGGCGTCGCCAGTCAGACAGTCTACCAGCTCTCCTCACTGGGAACCGTGGTTACTAAGTGTAACCATCATGCCGTGTTAATAAACAAGAGTGCCTCCTACTCTTAGTGTCTCTACATCTATCTCTGGAACCAGCACCCCAACCCAATCCACGAAGAAGCAAAGACGGATTGCATTATAATAAATTACTCTTCAGTACTCATTATACATTCTGGAATGCACTAATGTGTGAAAATGTATTCACTGCGAGATGTAAGTCCCATTTTTTTTATGCTGGCAGGTTTGGGATGCATAAAATGGCATTCCATGTGGATACTGGATTTATTTTACATTTCAAATGCTCTACTGTACTGTCTGTACATATGCATAGGAATAAGTCGATTGGTATGTGGGTTGCGGTGAGGTAAAGTGTGGACACTCCCACCTTTTCCCGCACCCCCCGATCGGCACGGGTGGCGACGTACGGCGCGAAAGAGGTACACACATACAGTACATACGCCCAAGACGTCTTGGCCATTGTGGAAGAGTGAGCGACACCTTTGAGAGGGGCCTCTCACCATCAGTGGGCGTGAGCAAGAAATTGTAGGGCCGCACGAGATACTCGCAGACTTTACCGCAAATGTGGCTCTGCACCTGCAGTTGATTTTTTCCTCCACCGCCGATATTTTACAACGCACGTTAGCCATGGAAAGTGATTACAAACACTTGACGCCAATGCGGGGACAGCTGACGAATTCCATTTCCCGTGTAAATCTAAAGCTGGAAAACACAATTCCCTTGGGTGGGGGTTTGGGGGGCAGGGCTTGCGTGCTGGGGTGGGGGGGGGTCTCCATTAATCTATCACTTGTGCACGGCTTTGTCAGCCGGGACACTGAGGATGTGCCCGTTGGGGGCCAACCGCTCACGCAATGCCCAAGTTGGAACGTGCGGGAGACTCGTCAATGGGCATCGACGACACGGGTCTGGTGACCGTGGTGTTGTTCTTGTGCAAGAGCGTCAGGAACGCGGGATGCTTCAAGCGAACGGAATGATTTGGGTCATGACAACCTTACACGCCAGCTCATCCTGTGGCCTTGCCATAGATATATCTTATCCGCCGCGGTGGTGTTTACAATAATGTTCAAGTATACAAAAGTACAAGACAAATTGGCTGCCCGCATCATAGCAAGTAAGATGAATATGCCAAATGCATGGCATACCTGAAGAACATATCTTACTCCTTCGTGCGGTGTACGGTACACTAGCAGGGTATTTACAGGGTATCTTTTTCTGAACGTTTAATCTAAAGAAGTCTCTGTTAATTATTCATTTGTCTCACGGACGTATTTTTTGTCAAGTCAAACTTATCGCTCCTTGGTCTTGCAATGCTGCACACATCTCGCCAGCAAAGGAATACAATTAATCATCTTGAAGGGCCAACTAATTGGCCCTTCAAGACATTTCTCTCAATCCCATCCCCATCTGCATCCTGCAATGCCGGATGAATCGTGTTTAATTAAAGCCAATGATTTTCATAAATTCAACAACTTATTTTTAATCAGGGATATATTTTTTCTATTTTCCTGCATTTCATTGTTCTCGTTCTGCCGTGGTTCAACCGATTACCAAAATATATTTGCTTTCACGTCTGGAATTATAATATGGCATTATAATTTGGCATTATAATCTGGCATTATAATCATCAATTTTAAAAGACTCATGCATAAGATTTGAAAATGGCACTTAAACACTACTTCATTTCAAAGACCCCACACAAAATAACAATGTTACGTACAGCCACCTTTTTAACCGCACAAAAATCTGTTCACTGTCTAACGATTTCAAACTCTGAAGCATAACTATTTACGTAGCTAAGGGGGGATTATTGATGCTCCGATATACACGTGTAAACACATGTGTAGCTATGCAGTCAGGACATGACTTGACCAAACTCACGAAATAAATAGTTCGCAATAGGTTTAGTTCATTCCAGAAAGGGCTTTTGCAGAGCCGTGGTGCCGCATACACTATGTGCAGTTTACATTTTTGTCCACGTTACATAATTGAGAAAATTTGAGCACAACACGAGCTCATTGTGAGAGGCCAGGACTGTACGCGGGGGACGAGCGAGGAGGCTCGCCACAGTCTGTCACCACCACCACCACACCACCACCACCACCTCCACCACCTCCACCACCACACCACCACACCACCACACCACCACACCACCACACCACCACGCCGTGTACCACGCAGCAGGGGGGGGGGGAATCATCGCAGCCAAAACTGACGGCGTGTTTACACGATCCTTAAAGCGGACATGCGAAGCGCCTCTCCACTGTGCAAACACGAACTCTCAGAGAATTCCAAGCAGCAAGTCGCCCGTTTCCATCATACAAAATGGAAAAAAAAAGAACATCGTGGTGGCATTTTGGCGAAAAGGGGGCCCCCCGCGTTCTTCACATGCCCTTTTGCAGGCATTCAACTGCCATTCTGAGCGCACTTTGTGGACATCCGCCACTGCAGAATGTGCTCTTGTTCGGTCTCTCGCTTACGACACAAGCCACAAGCACGAGTCACAACCTCAAGACATTTTCAGGACACAGTCATAACGGCCGCTATTGCAGATGCAACTTTAAACTCAGAATTCAGTAGCCCATGAATCACGCCGTTCATGGGAAATGGGTTCACTCATTCTTGCCCCGAAATTCTTTTTTTACCTCTTGTCTGTCCATCAAATCGGCCTGTCCGCCTACTTACTTTTCCAGATTTTTATATTTATTTCCCTTTGAAAATGTGTTTTTATCTTCTAAACGTTCTGCATGCTTGGGCCTCGTTTTGGCAAGCAGGTTCGATTTTAATGCCACCCAATCCACCCTGCATTGCTCCCTCGCCTGGACTTTCTCAAAAAGTCGTCTGTCCCCCACCACTCATGCCACGCCCTGACCTCGTAGCAGATGCACTGCAACGACTCAACGCCGCTACTGTAGAGGCGTCGCTTTGCTGCTATACGTGACCACCGTGCCACGAGGCAAACCCATTTCACCGAGGGCAGGGTATATAAAAAAGGTCGCATATCCGACCGCCACGTAGCCACCCCGACAAATTAACAGACCAATTAACAGGCAAATTAACCGAGTGCCGAGGAAATTGTGTCCGTGCCCGTGTCTGCGGTGTCCACCACGACGGTTACCGAAAGCGGCAGCCCGCGAGCAGGCGAACCGCGACCAAGGGTCGTCCCCATCGCTGGCTATCGTGGCTCGCACAGCAGAGGTCCTGAAATGTTACTCTCAATTTAATGCCCTTTGCTTTAAACAAAAATGTTGTTTGGGGAATATTTCTGGTCGTATCATGCAAACTGCATAGCGATGCACGTCACAGTGTTCTTAATCACTTCGGAGCAGTTTCTCAAATTTAAAGCAGTTTGCGCTTTATTTTTGTCTCGTAACCTATTTGCACGCGGTGCAAATGTCATCGTCTACAGACGTTCACGAATCTGACCGATGTCTCACACATCCGCCGACATCAGAGACCCCGGCTAAATCGGAGATGTGACATTGTTACTGTACAGCGATCGTTCTGGGCCCCACACAAGAGGTCACTGTCGAGTTCCATTCTAAACAAAACACTGAAATGCAACCTTATTCGCCAAATTAATTCCCTTGTTTTTACTTCGCAACCGCACTTTATCTGTTGCCATTCCGCAGCCGACTTTGCAGAAATGTTTACATTTTTTGCTGCTGCTTCTGAGCGGAGTTGTGCATCTGCAAGTCAGCTCCAGCAGCATAAACCAGCAGCAGCGAGTACACCGAACCCACAGAATTATTCTGCTTAAAGTAACTTACACCTCCATGGAGGATCAGTGAGATCCTTCGCTGCGCGATAAACCAGTTGGTCCAAGAAAGATTCTCAGCGATCGCGAACATCAGCGCCGAGTGAAATCTCAACAGCCCACTGGTTGCAGCCTTCAACATGCAGCGTCACACTGACCAGCGTGGCGAAGTAGGGCAACCCCCACACACCCGCCTAACCCTCGCCCCAAGGCATCGGGATTGTTTTTACCAGCTGTGGGAATAAAAAAAACATCTCTAAACTTGCCTATATTGCAAAATGTATTTATGGTAATACTTTTATTAAAAATGGTGGGGGGGGGGAAAATCTCTGCAGAAAGAATGAATCAAAAGTGCCTGGAAGGTGGATGGTGCATGCACCACACCTCTTCATTAGCCGACTTAAATGCTTCTTCTTTCGTATGGCTGCTGATGTAGGCGCAGGGCAACATCCGCAGTTTCACACTGAAGCCCTGATAGCCGCGTCAGGAGCAGCGGAGTGTCACATCGCTGTGATGTCTCCTCCGTATTTGTGGATCGGGGTGTTGCGTCGTCAAACGTTGTTAGGTCTGTTCTGGATGACCACCAGTCGCAAACTGCTACTGGAGCGCTTTAAATGTTCCATTTGTGAATGCTGCCATATAGTGATGAGCCAACGCCCAGTTAATGTCCCTGGGCTCCACATTAAACCAGCACCCACCTTACACCACACCTACAATCACCACTTCTATACTCTCCACCGCCTCCGAAGCCACTGAACACCTCTCTCCACACCCCCATCCAAAGCATACAACTAAACTCTCTTCACTCCCACACGCCCACCCCCTAACGCACTGCGACCTGAGCACATGTGGCAAGTATGCGTGCAGCTTACCGTGCTAGGGGCTTTTCTCTCCCCCTCCCCTTCTCTCGCTTGCTGCAGGCAGAGCTCTGGGGGGGAGGCGGATCGGAGCGTCTGGCAAACAAACGGAGGAAGGAGGCAGCGGCCGCGAGCTGCGAGGGGGAGGAGGGAGTAAATCGGTACGTGTCAGGACTCACGGTCGAACGTACAACTTGTGTTTTTTTTTTAAGATGGAAACCACGTGTAACAAACAAAAAATGTCCACGCCCCAGCAATGCAAGGCTACGGAAGCGTCGTCTTTTTGTTGTTAATAAACTCGCTCACATCCCGAATAAAACTGTAACTTGTTTATCCTACCCCCCTCCATCGATAAGCCTGACCACAAATATGTTGCGTTTCTGAATGGTCTTGCACAAACATGAAGACCCACGTCCAGGGAGTGGCCGGAGAGACTCCTGTGTAATGGTCTGGGAGTCTGAATCACCCTGCTGAATTTGAGCAATTCTAGATTTTTGTTACGGAATATATACACCGTCGTTTCACTCCCATTTCTATTTGCTTCATTGCAATAACAACTTTATTTCATTCGTTTTGCGATTAGTAATTTGGTGGCCCAAACCACTCCTGCCAATGAGACTATACCGATCTCCGAGTTCTCACAAGTTCAACAAAAGTAAACTTAACGTGGTCTTTATTAACTCATCATCAGCCATGATCAATCCACTGCAAGATGAAGGCCTCCTCAAGTTATCAGCACTTCGCACGATCCAGCCATGGAATAATTAAACGAGCACAATACACGCGGCCTATGATAACCCCGTTGGACCACGCCTATGATCCCCTATGCGATGTTTAGCCAACAATAAATGTAGCTGATACAGAAATACGCCTGTGATGTAATTACTGTACGGCGAATTCTATAGCCCCCACTCTATAGCTGTATGCATGGGAAATTAACTTATCAAGTTACTTGATATTAATATTTTAAGGCTTAAAACTACTTTCGGCAATTACGTGCCTTTCAATTGCATTTAAAAACATTCATTTCTACCCAACTAAACAACTTACCTGTGCTTTGGCCTATACTCGGAATGAGTGGCCTCTATAGCCTGCACAAGAAGGCAATATTTACGCATTGCATTCACGCAAACACAAACATTTGCTGTACGGGGACATTTACCGGGCAGGATAGAATAACACAGATAAGCAGCACATTGGCACGTGGTGCTCTAAGCAGGTCGCCTCGGGGCAGGTAACGCTATACAGGTGAGAAGAGAGGCGCACACCTGTTCATCCAACACGCCTCACAGGACTCCCCCGACACTTGCCATGCCACCGGTGTACCGTCCCTTCTCTACACCCCTCCATGCGTGCCAGACTAAGACTAATAATCCAAAGTATCCACAGAAAGAATCGCCGTTAGGTCTCACAAGTTTTTATTTAAAGAGGTCCCTGCATTGGATTGAGTGGGGAAGGGAGACATTTGGCCACTTCCTTCCAGGAATAATCAACTCGAGTGTCCTATGGAAAGACTTCCCCCGTCATGATAATGTGGAATTCACATCACTGACCGAGTGTGATAAACGCCTAATCGACTTGCCTTGAGAGAAACGGATTCTTTAATCCGTCTGCTGGCCGCTTTGGGCGTTACCCCGTTGTGCGCGCGGGTTTTCTCCGGGATCTCTCCGGGATCTCTCCGGTTGCCAGTTGCGACGAAACAATCAGCCCGACAACACTCATCCTGAACAGCTGCGGCCACACATCGGTGGGTACAAAAGCCCCTTTCGTGAACACGAGTCGTGACACTCAGCGAGGCTCGCCGAGGTAACCGAAAGGACATTTACGCTAACTACGAGTTAGCCTAAGGTATTACTCGTAAACAGAACAGCAACTGCATTTCCGATTGACTTTTGGCAGCTGCCCTGGCGCGCACATCCCAACAAATATACCAAGCGAGACAACTTATCTCAAGCAACTTCTAAACAACAACAACAACATGTTGCATCTGATAGGGAGATGTCTTTCGGCTTATAAGCACGAGACAGCACGCCAGAAGATGTCCAAATGTGAAGTGTCCCGCGTCCGAGTGGTGAAGATACCTCGCTCTCTCGCGATGGTGGAGAGAAATTGCCGCAGCGTGGACTTGGGGCACGAACGTCGCGGGCTGATGGGGGCCTCCCCCCAGCACCACCTCTGGCGAAGTGGCGAGAAGTGTCTGCGCTGTGTTATTTGCGATATAATTGTTACGAAGCGTTAAGAGGGGTCTTGTGGCTACGACTGACCAAGCACGTACATACCCACGGACTGCTCGCGTAGCGTGGGTTTCAACAAACATACACACACTTTTTTTTTTTAGATTTTTAACAGAATAAGAACGCACGTACGGTATAGAATAATAGAACAGCGCAGTCGCCACTTGCTTTTACTTATTTATAGCGCCGTGAGCAGCAGCATCAGCAGGGATATAGAGCGCATAACGGGGTAAGCAGCAGAAAGTGAAGTTGAGAGCGTGGTGGGGAGGGGAACGAGAAGGGAAGAGGGAAGGAGCGAGCAGGCAACAAACTTGAGGAGCTCCGCTTACTCGAGGCACAGCGAAACTTCGCGCGAGAAGAGTGGACCGTCGCTTCTGTATGGCTTTAAGAGAGCGCCGAGCGCAAGACAGACGACGATGTCCCACACTCACCCAACACCCACGCCACTTCCTCGCTTCGGAGCGGGGCTGGGTGTGGCTCTGAGTCTTTTTTTTTCTATTTTTCACTTGGTGCAGGGAGTGGATGAATGGGGTTGTGGGGATGGGTGAGTTGGGGGAGCAGGGTTGTGTTGGTGGTGGTGGTGGTTGGGGTGGGGTGGGGGAAGGATGTTGGGGGTGGAGAGAGTTGGCGAGGCGTGGTGGTGGTGGTAGTGGTGGTTGTGGTTGTGATGAGAGATTCAGGGCTGGGCATGCTGCGAGACCTCAGGCTGAGGAGTCCTGTTTTGGATGACTCAGACGAAGTATTTTGATTCAATCACGGGTTGCCGTGCACAGGGCCCAAAGGTCCCAAAACGCCACGTGGGCAGCAACAAACAGTACTGTTGAAGGTGTCACAGATGGGAGCGTAACACGTTTTCTTGACTTTAGTAATGTTGATGAGGACTTTGGAAAATAGACGTTGCGAGGGAATTCCAAAGTGGAGCCGTGTCAGGGAGGAGACAGAAAGGGAAGCATCGTGAGCTGCAGTGTGATGGATGGACACTGTGGATGGGATGATGATGCAGTCAGCCTGGTAGACTTGAACACGGGTGGGTGGGGGATCAATGAGTGACGTTCGTGTGAACAGCAACCATCGTAGCAGCGACAGAAAAGTAGAACGAAGCGGATTTTACGTAAGATTGTATTTCTTGTATTCACATTCCCATTGTGCTGTTGGTGTCAGGCCATGTATGTTGAAATTCTGTCGCACCTTACGTAGCCAACCGTGCTAATCGGAGGTGCGGCGAAGTGGCCACGAGGTGCATCGCCCCGTGTTGAAGAATGGCCTGCAGACGCAGGTTTTTTTACAGACCTGATTCCGATATCATATTCAAGTGATAGTATTCGTTTTTGTTTTATACACGAACAAGGGGACACACATTTCCACTCACCCTGCAGCACAGCAATGTTGTCACAGGGCAGTTGCAACAATCTATCTGAATTCCCAATGCTAGCATTTAGCCAGAGCAAATTAAAGTCATTTAGACTTGTGCTGTCATTAATGCCCGGGTTAAGTCCATCAACTCACTATGCCTGGGAAGCAGTTTAATTGCATGTGGCTGAAACCAGATTTTTAAACGCAGGATCTCAGTGGTACGCAGTGGCATTGCATGGTTCGAATGAGCCCTGATCCAAGGAATGAAATCAGCTCCCTTATTCAATTTCCATCCACCTCTGTAGCCAGGCAGCATCTGAGTCCTTCTGAACCCATGGCTCCGATGCAGTTGCACCACCTGCACACTTATGGCACAGGCAAGGTCCTCTGATCCCTGAGTCACGTTACCACCGCTGACTTCTGGAATGTTTGAGAGAGAAAAAAACACACCGTACATTCACCCGAACGGGCGGGGCTGTGATTAAAGTCCTTGACTCATAATCGGAAGCCAAAAAGAGTTCAACTCCTGGTCGAAGATTGGATATCAACTCAGCCTTTCCTTCCTTTATGCGAATATTTTACATATTCGCATAAAGGGCCTTCGTGCTCATTTGATATGGAGAAACTTTGAACTTAACTTCAAGTATATGTTCAGCAAAGCCTCACTGAGTCTTGAGAAGTTTGGACAATTCCATTCATGCTGTATGACTCTCCAACGTGTTTTTGGGTCTTACATCTAAGACCATGTAAGACCCAAAAACGCACTCCTGATTAGCGTGGTTGGCTACGTACGGTGCAAAAGAAGTTCAACAAACATGCGTGTGTCGTTGGGCATGATGTCCGACCTCTTTACAACTCCGTTTCTGAAATGGCTCTGAGCAAATTGTCTGACGTCACGCCAAGCAACATGTGGTACATTCCCAAAACTCATTGAAGAGCAAATCTACGAGTGAATGTTCGGCGTGTAGGAGAATCCTGAATGAAAACTCACTCATACGAAAGGGTAACAGCACGAAAGGAGTCAAGGATCAATTGCTGTCCTGCCATCCATTGGTCACCTTGTAGTGTTGGGTGATACCTGTAAATCTCGCATACCTGTAAATATCGAATTCCAATGCCAGTTTTGACGGTGACTTGGGGCCCAGCAGTAGCGCGTTCACTGCTTGTTGCAGAAGTTTGCTGCTCCAGGCAGGCAGGTGGGCCCGACCAAATTTGACGAATCACCTGTAAATTGGTCAAATGGGATTGCATGCAACGACAATGTTCCCGACTGTGAAACAACTGTGGACTGTGAGAAACGTAGCAGCAGCCTCGTAATAGACTTCCAGCATAAGAATGGCGCGAGTCACAAATGCACTCGATGATTATTACGTACTGTACGTGTAGATTCGGTACCTTATTGTACGAGTATATACAATCCAGATCTCCGTTGGAAGACACCTCCGCTCTCAATGGTTCTTGCAATAACATAATAAACAGCCCTTTTGCCAATCCACTGATGAATGAAGGTCCCCAAATGGCACATCGGTCATGGGGACCGTTTTGCCATACTTCACCACACTGGCTAGTGGATTGGTGAAGGCGGTGACAACCAGGACCGGTTTCGACATCGCCTTCCACGATTGTCGACCAATGGTCCCTAACTGAACACGAGTCCCCGGATTAATAGCGCGGTGCGTTAACCGCCGCTCCACAGCGCGTTCTCACCTGGTTATAAATAGAGAAAAGGGGTCAGTACCAGCAGCGGCACTCTCGATCTTGCTGACGATGTTGCTCGTGTGGCTCCGACCTCAATAATAACCGATGAATACCAACACTGCAATGCGGTACTGAGAGGTGTTCGTTTGGGTCACATTTGGATTGGCGGATTTGACCTCTCTCTGTGGTTTCCTATTCAAGGTCGCATGATCATACCGCACCGTTTCCCCCACCACCGCACGCCGAGTGTTTTCACTGATATGGTTGTAAACCTCAGCGAAGCTAATTTCCGTCTGTGTTCGCCACGATTAGTTTTTGTTATGAAAAATAAATAAATTGAGTTGAAATCACTTTGTAAATGAATACTTTATAATGGCAGCGGCCTAAACTTGTCACCGTACAGACGAAAATCAGTTGCACAATCATTGGCAGGCCTTTGTCAGTCCACTGCTGGATGGAGGCCCCCTCCCCACGCTGCGTCGATCACGGAGGGTTGTTTGACCATACTTCACCATGCTAGCCGGTGCAGGTTGGAGAAGGGAAATTCCAGTCACCGGGCTTATAGAGCAAGCACAATGTACTAACCACCAAGCCGATGCTCATACCTATTGCTTGTTCATACGTTGGAATGTTTGCTGTGGTTATGTGCTCATATAAACCAGGATTTAACAAGAGGTCTAATTTGAATGCACTCTGGCCTAGTTAGATTCAAAATTATATTAATTTACTTATTCATCCAGCAAAGCCAGGCTGAGTCATACGACTCCTTTTCCAGGTGGGTCTGCGCATTGGTTTATTTTTTATTGTAAAAGTATTCAGCCCGTTGATGATGTTTATACGTGTGGGAGGAAACCGGGGAACCCGGAGAATACCTGAGCCGCGTGTGAATGGGCAGCACTCTGTTCCCGTACGTATGGAAACCATGGTGATTAGCCCACTTGCTGTACTGCCTTCTGGAGAGACACGGTGTGGGCACATTGACATGCAACAGGGAGTTTCGCAAAATCACCGACTATAATCACCCAGAAATGTCTGTCCGTCCCGCTCGTGACGTCACTCCACATGAGGCCCACCCCCGCGTGACGTCACTCCACATGAGGCCCACCCCCCGCGTGACGTCACTCCACATGAGCCCCCCCCACCATTAATATTCATGAGTGGGTGGATTTTTACACGAACGCAGAGGAAGATCGAGCTGAATTAAATAATTTATTACGCAAAGTCGCTTAAAATAAATCTACGCAGCACAGTGCTACATCCGTGCGTGACGTCACTACAAAAGAGCTCCCTCCCCTTTATTAATATTCATGTCCGCGTGGAAATTTACACGAACGCACCATAAGGTCGCGCACTCCACACGTCACACCCCTCCCTTCTTTAATAATCATGAGCGGGTGACGTCACACCACATGCCGCACCCCTCCACAATAACCATGTGTGGGTGACGTCACTCCACATGCGCACCACTCCCCAATAACCATTAGCGGGTGACGTCACTCCACATGGTGCAACCCCCCTCATTAATAATCATGAGCTGAATAATTTTTCTATTGAATATTTCAGATTTACTGCAATGTACACCCGTCCTTGGACGGGAAAACAAGCTGGTTTGTGTTACCTACCAACCCTCGCTGCCTCCACAGGTCTGGGTTACAGGCCACGTGCAGCAGTCACCGCCGCCTGGCTCGTTATAAACGTCATCTGTGTCTGCTCTGTGTGCAGTATAGGACGTCTGCAGCGTTATACATTTACAGACACCTCACTTAGAGAATACGGAGACATTACACAATTATCGATTTTGATGGAGGGCTGCGAAAAGTGGCATCATGTACATGTGACAACACCCGCCTCCGCTCTTTTGGTTTCCGCTCTGTTTATTTTCTGTACATTTTAAAAGAACCTGTGTCCGAATTTCCATTGCAATGTGTACATTGTTTTCCTTTGCGGTGTTGCATGCACAAACATATCCTGGGCGTCCGCACCCTCGCCTGCTAAGCAGGAGTTCGTGGGTTCGATCCCAGACCCCGACAATGCCTGTTGTATTTTCGGAGTTCGTGTGATCTCACTCTCCCCATGGTCGTGTGGATTTTTCTCCAGGTCCTCAGGTTTCGCCCTCCACATTTAGAAACATGCATTTAGATTATTTGCCTGCTACTATACCTTCCCACATGACGATGAGAAGCCACTTTAATGAGCTCTCACGTGTGGCCACGTCACCTCTGAAAAAGAGCTGTAAGCTCAGTGGGCTTTACCTGGCAAATAAAATAGTAGTAGTAGTTTGGAATAGACGTTGTGTGTGAGTCACAAACAGATGCTACCACCTTCCTTCTCGGTCGCTCTGTACTATATGGAGCCATCACGTTCAC